CGCGAGTCTACCGAAAAACGCTTTAGCATTTCATGCTTCCTTAGTTCGATGTCGTAGGAAACGACCTCAGGGACTCGACCTATTATAAAGCTGTTCGACGATATCCTACAGTTTGACGTACCGAGGACGCTTTTAATTCTTCCTTAGAAATGAACGACTTCTTAAGGATTCCAAGACTCTGAGAAATCCCAATAGACTTTGCAGCCTGACAATTCCATAGGGAGTTCAACTCTTTGAATTTTTCAAAGGAAATCGCACCGACGTCATCATCGGCACCAAGGCAGTATCATTGGCAACTGTACTCTTCGATATCCGCGAAGGAACTTCTTTCATTTGGCACACAGTGCACAAGCTGAGTGTATTTTATGACTCAGAGATGTGCAAGTTGTCCGCACGAAAGTTTTGAAGTGGGGGTGGTAATACGTAAAAGGGAGGCGTGAAGTGTTAACACAGGCTTCGAGCAGCAGCAGACACTTGACGCACCCCCATGTATCCTCTTTTCTCTTCCTCTACTCCCTTTGATGCAACCCTCCTCATCGGCCTCCGGTCCGTCGCTCAATCCATCCGTCCGTTTCAGTGTCGCGTGCACGCTTGGCTATTCATAATAAAGAGCTAGTTTTTTCTCCACCTTTTTTCTTTCTCGTATTTTTTTTTTTTTTTTTTTTTAAAATAAAGAGCTAGTTTTTTCTCCACCTTTTTTCTTTCTCGTATTTTTTTTTTTTTTTTTTAATACTTCTCGTCTTACGTTACGTTCAACTAACGTTCACGTCGACTCCAATAACCGATTGTATATAGGGATGACACATGCACTGAGGTCTCTCACGTGGAGAGCGTTGAAACGCATTTCCTTTAGCCGTCGATCGATAACCAGGATTCAGGTACCCGTCGACCCTGATTCGATGAATTTTCAAATAGTCTTTTATTGCTGTCTCCAAAGTGCCACCAAGAGTTCATGCTTGCACAAGGATTCCTTTTTAAGGAACTGCTCTTCCCACCTCGTGTCGCACTGTGTGACCTGACTCTTCCGGGTACTTTGGGATTAGAGGGCTTCAACGACTTCGTTTCCTCTTGAAGAAGTGATTCAAGGTACCGTCAAGCACTAGCTCCCAGAGTCCCTCAGGACTATTTCAAGCGAGCTGCTGGTGATTTCGAAAAATAGGGAGACTTCCGGTTCAATCACGATTCCAACATGGTTCATACCACGCTAAGGGCTGTTCTTTACGGGATTCGTTCCCTGTCGCAATGGACCCTTGGGAAATACTAATATTTTAACCACCGTCAACGAAGGAGAGAGAAGGTATGCCGTATGTACGTGAGTGAGCATGAAAAGGGAAAAAGGGTGCGCGGAGTCAGTCTGCATCCGTTAACCAGCGTAGTTGCGGTACCCTTAGGGAAGTACTTGCAATTAACGTGGTAAGACTGCGCCTAGTCTATGTGGGGTTTGAGGATTGGGGTGCGATAGAATAGCTGCGGCATTCGATTATTTGTCAAGGATATGCGATGGATAGGGATGGAAGCTGAATTTCTATTTAGAACCGGAAGCGGGGCTTAGTCATGGCATTCCGTATTGTTCGTGGTAAAGTGCATTCTCGTGTAAAATACGAAGACGCACATAGAATAATAACTGATTGTTCCTTCTTATTATTATATTCTAATTAACTACCCTCGACATCGGGGAAACGTGCAGATCGTATAATTTATTAAAATCATACTTTGTGCTGTATTTGAAATTTTTACGAATTCAACAATAATACATTTTCTGTGGCCTTTTGAGAATAATGAAAAGGCTCCCTCATTTTGGCAATTCATCGCAACTGTCCAGGGATATATATTTCTCTTCATTTTAGGTCGGATCGAGGTTTGATCGTAGCGATAAAGGTTTATGTGTCGCCCTCCGCGATAAATTAGCGTTATCGCGACCATCTACTTCTACCACCACTGCTACACCTATAGATCCACCTTTAGACGGCGACCCCTTTATTTTCGCCGAGTTGAACATTTTCTGAGTGTATGACGTCACTGCTTCACGGACCATTGCACCGGCCAAGCCACCCCTGCAGGACGTGATGAGACCAAGACCGAGGGCGAACGGCATAACTTTAGATCAGGACTCCCCAGGAAGTAGCGACAACCTTATTTGTTGAATTCCCAACTGCCTCTCCCGATGTACATTTAACTTACCTTCTGATCCCTTTGTACCAAAGATTTATCGGATATCGGAAAATTGATTAGGAATCGAATGGAATTTGGAACCGAAGCTGCATTTAGATATTGTCAATGAAAGAATACCGAATGCCCAGGAGATCTTCAAAGTTTTCTTTAGAGTATATTCCCACGTCCTGGATGAGACTGAGAACCATTCGTAACGTTAAGGTAATTTTTACGGAGAATTTCAAAACAGCACGAGTTTATTCAAAATTGCTTTTGTACTTTTGTAGAAGCACTCAACGTAGAATATTTGCAAGTGCATTTCATTCGCCGGTTACCGAATTGCAGTTGCAACGAGTTTCGGAGCTTACGTACGTCGTTGTGGCGTCTTGCAAATGGACAAATGCCAATGAGGAGCTATATTGAATCTGCATAAGAGGCAGTTCAATTCTACGAGTTGTACGATACCGAACTGACGAAGACTTAGATAATCATTGTCGGAGTTCTTGCGAAAATTTTCTACGTCATATTTTTTCATATTTCATGTCATGTCTTTTAAGACCTGTTTTTGGTATTCAATGGAGGCAGTGATGAGAATGCCTGGGTGAGATTCCGTGGATGGCAGATGTCTCCGATGCTGTGTCTGCAATGAATAACGTTTACGTAATTATATACGTCACGGAATGATCGATTATATTCTCCTTAGGCGAATTTTCGGACATTGATAAGTGTATTCATGTACGTACCTACGCCTAGAGCTTGTGGGTAATATGTATAACGTGATGCATTATTTGAGGACCATTATTTGAAAGCAGATTCGAAAGGTGATTAGGTGCTGTTAAACACGGACTTTTGATCGAGTTAACGGTCCAGTAATTATGATAATTACTGCAACGAGTCACGTTACAAATGCAAGAGCAAAGAATGTTAATGCTAACTCTATTGCAGTCTCATCGTATGAAAGAACGAGAGGTACACACTTTCAATGTAATTAATTAAACTCGTTATCGTAATTACTGAATAACGAAGGGGCCATTAGGAGAAAAGACTTTAGCTACACTTATTCTGCTTACTTGATTTTAATACGGTGTAGAGTTTACGTAAATCTGCAGCAGTTCAGGTTATCATAGAGAATTAACATAAACTGTTTTACCGACGGAAGCGCGTCTAATTTCCTTCCGTAAAAAATTCCTTGTCTCGAATATCGATTAGTATGGTAAACTAGTCTTAAGCTTTAAGACATTATCGGAAATTATAAATATCTTGCAATTAAATGCAACTTATAAATAACAATCGCTACCAGTGCGTTTTAAGCGTCTATTCAGAGAGAATTATTAAGTTGCATGTCACAAGTAAGAAAAAGGGGGAATAACAGAGAGAAAATCAGCCCCGCGTCGCTGCGTTAGAAAACGAGGAAATGGGGAAGAATGAAGGGGCGGTGTAATTAACGAGAAAAAAAGGGTGAACAAGGAGAGAACGCCAAGGGACGCGATACTTTGAATGCACGTCGTATAACTATGCGAAGAGTCGTTTCTTAAAAGGAGAGAATTTTTGGAATTACCAAACGCCAGTCCCTTAGCAAATTTGCCGTTATTATTTGGAACGTGTTACTTCCTTATTCAATTGCCTTGGGTGGATTGTTTGTTTTCGCAAATATGCCTTCACCGCGTTCCTTCTAATCTGGATCCTTTCACTTTTTAGCCCAGTTCCATTGTTAGACACCGACGCCCTGGCTGTCACGGTTCTTGAACATTTATAATTAGCTACTTGCTTTACGTCGATTGGGATCTTGCGCCTTTTTTTCTTTATTATTTTTTCTACCTCCTTTACACAACCATTCGGTTTTCCTTCAAAGATATCAGGCACCAGTTAGTCCTTGCTATTTTCAATTGTTTCCCCGAGTAGGATATCTAGCTGGGATTTGTCCCGGGAGACGTAGAAGGATTATATCGTGGTATCATCTTGTACAGAGTTAATTGTTCAGAGCTGCTTTGCTCGTCTGGATTTCCATAGCAAATATTCCCAGTTTAACCTGAGGACTATAGGACTGAACGATAGGAATCATGAAAATGAAAATCTAGTATTGGACAATTTCAATTTTGACTATCCTTACAGGTTTGCCTAAAATTGATTAACGCGATAAATGCATAAAAAATGTAATAAAATAATTATATATAGCTACATGAAAGTATCATCGATGTTTAGCAAATAGAAAATAATTTTAGCAAAAATCAACCCGTTTTACTTACCACTGAAATTTCTTTCAGCGAAAGTTCAGATAGAGAGATCAAAAGTCATTTACATATATCCTAAAAAATTCCGATCTCATTCCCACTTGATCGAATGACGTGTTACGTAGCAGATCGAGTATGATTAATAAATCCTTGACTCTCCTTTAAAGATCGAAGCACCTTACTCATACCTTTTCCTTACCATCTCGTAGAATTATCTATCTGTACTATATCGGTATGTACATACTTCTGAGAACGTGGGCGTTCCTGAGTGCGTTCCTATTTCGCTTACGGCATCTAGGAATACGTATTTGCGACCTCGAGAGCGATCACCAGTCGCAAACACCTCTGAATTGGTCGAGCAAGGAATTCGTCATCGTGCAAAGCCAAGCATAGGCCAGCAGATCGGTCCTGTTAACCATTACAAAAGGTATAAAACAAAAATGATATTTAAAAAGCTTAAGTGGATTCGTGAGTGTTTGAAACATATAAAAACTGAAGTCTGAAAAGATGCATTTATAAAAAACCAATTACCCGTAATTTTCTCAATTTCAATTCCTTACCTCGGCATAATTATATAGTATATATACATATATAATTTACAAGTTACTTGGAAAATATATTCCTCATACCAGTGCACGAGTGGAAAAACTTGAGTCTCAAAGTTCAACTAATAAAATTACTAGAAAAAGGAACTAGTGTACACTCTACTATTATAAGCTATGCTAATCGTATAGTTTGTTGGTATATGTTGTCCACTCTCTAGATTATTTAGTCATCGATCCAGAGTCGGCATCCAAGTGGAAACCTTGGATATTGGTACATCTCCTCGTTGGAGGATGTAGTCATAAGGGAAGGAAGGAACTTGAATATCGACAGTAAACTCGTCGGATCGTGCGAAATTAAATTATTCAACTTTCCCCACTCGTAGCAAATGTTTTCTCTCCGACCAATGATACGGAGAGTCGTTAGTGCGGCCCGAAACTTCGCCGCGGAATTATAGCTCGTAGCGAGACGTTAAGTTTACCACTCGTGTTTTCGTTTGGTTTCACTTTAAATCGAGAAAACGACACGGAGGACAGCAAAATGTTTGTCAAAGTCTTTTGGCTGTTGGTGCTGTTGTGTGCTGTTGTAGGTTCTCTCGCCAAACCTACGATTTACAAGCGAAACGAGGATAATATTTTCGAGCCTGGTAAGTGTTTTTTATCTTTTATTTATTATTTTTTCCAAATTTATTTATTGAGCGCGATACAATTTTTCTTAAATTCAATGCAACTTTGTTTATCCATTTTGTTACGTTATTTATTGTTTTATTATACGTAAGATGCTTTATTTATTTTTATACGATAATTCGTACGAGTTGTGGATAGTGGAGACATACTTAGTAAATATTATATTGTGACGATTGAAAATGTTATTTAAACAATTATAAGCGTTAACATTCTTTTAATATATGCTAGTCAATATTGATCATAAATATGCAATTGTAATTCTAAATAGTAATTAATCCATTTCGAATGATTCAGTTATTTTTTTACAAAAACAATATTAAGAAAATTTGATTTGAGCGTTGCCGTTCTACAAATACGTGGTCTGCTTTCTCTGCGTGTTCTAGACTTTCTAGGATATCCGATCCAACGATGAAATAGGGAATTTAACGAACAATGGACACCTTTACGACCGCATTGTGAAAACGTTTAATGAAACACGCGAACGAGTTGTTATAGGAATCTGTATAATTTTGCAGAAATTTTAATAATGGATCTTACGATAACGATAACAAGATTTATAAACGTATATCGACAATATCAAAATAATTAGATTTGTAAACAGGGTATGATTAATTTTCGCCAAAGTTTTTCCATTAAACAAAATATTTATTCAACCGCAAATCACACTTGCGCATTCGCTACGCAATGTCAGATATAGAAGTACTTCTAGAATTGTATGGAATGTCAATGTACTTATGTAAAAAAAAATCGAAAGTACTGATATACACGTATAACTGGTAGTGCAGCGTACATATGTATATGAATGGGGTCTTGGTCGGTTTCGTAGCTGCATGACCAAGTGAGTTCCAAAAACTTTCTCTTTAATTGACGATTGTAATTAGTACGTGAAACTGCTCTCTCTCTCTCTCTTTCTTTTTACCTAAGGACGATTGTTCGCCATAAAGAATAACGTGAAGCAGATATTTTCTGCGAAAAACTTTAATCGCATACATTTGAGGTTAAACTATATTTTTATATGAAAATTCAAGGCGCGAATATCATCGCCACTTTTTTGTATGTATGACGCTGTAATAATTTTTTATGACTCTTAAAAAACGAGATTCCGGCGTGGAAGTAATAGTTTATCCGTTTGCTTTTTTTATAACGTTTTAACATGATACTCTGGTTAAGAGCGAGGCATTCGGGTATTCGAGAAAATTCAAAAATTGAATTTGCATAGGGAATGATGACAGGTGGGAATAACGGGACGATGACGTCAGTACGCGTGGGTTTCGATTATAGCAAGGTAAGATAGCAGGAGAGTATATATGCTGATGGTGTGCCTCCTTATAAGAATATATACATATAATATTCATATATTTATGTTCTGAGGTAAAATATATACTTGAAGGAAATTTTGTGGAAGTCTTACTTTCGGTTTTAAGGCGTACTGACTTTTCAAAAATTTAGTTTACTTTTACTGTTTTACGCAAGGTTACGATTTTCTTTTGAAAAGTTTTGCACTTTTCAAATACAAATTGAGCGCCAGCAATAGCGAAATGATGGAGTCTTTATGAAATTTTGGGTATTGCATGGGCGTGGCACTTTTAATTTTTTACAATGCGATGTTGACAAACGATTTAATAATAAGGAACAATGCGAGGAATTTGTTCAGTTAAAATGTGACATTCTGAATTACAGGTGAAAATGGAACATCCAATGACGCTTTCTGATATAATCGAATTCTGCTTGTCGGGCTTGTAATTAAACAAGCTATTTAGTACTAGTAGGGTGACGAGTATAGGCTGTTGTAGCCTTGTATCTAGATAACGAGTACTCGTTAATGAAGCAAAGACAATTATTTTGTATGGGATTCATAACAGTGAATATTATCAATTACAGTGACAGATCTTTCATATAATGTGAAAGGCCGTTTTGACTTTAACCTCTTATGGTACGACCATGGGCTTACCATACTTGTAATTGTAATGAATGGTATCATTTTTTTTGCAGTAATGGTGCCAGTTTCGTCAACTGTTATCCCATTACCGGTTTACAAGGTTGGATATGGTTTCGGTTTTGTACCGAAAGATAAGAAGACACAATCATCCTTCAAACCGGATGGCGTGGTTAAGCTAATTACAGGTAAGGGGCGCAAGAAAATGTTTTAATACTATGAGAAAATGAATTTTGCAAAATATTGAAAAAGCTTTTTTCTCTCAAGTACAGGAATATCAATGCTAAGCCCTGTAGCTTGAGAGGTGTCAGTTTTATTGTCTTCTATTTTCTTGGTGAACATTTTTATTTGAGCATATAAAAACTCAGATATATTATTGTTGCACGACATTTCAGCCAAGAAAAATCAAGAGAAAAAAGCTTAAAATGATTGAAGATACAAGTTACGGACTCGTGGAACATTCTGCTTGACCCCGTTCGAATCACACGGTGATTTATGTCTTTACACCATAGTAGGATGAGTATGTGAGCGTAATAACGGTTGGTAATAGCTGGGCAATACAATGGACCAAGTTTTGTAAGAAGTGGACATCATATTAATTGCTGTCACGATTCGTTTGTTTAACGTGGCTCTTTGTTCGAATTAAGAATGATCATTCAATGGATCCAAGAGGCGCTTTTTAATTTTTAACTGAACATAAAGCATAAAGTTTCATTGAACAACAATAATACATTTACTTACCCTTAATATTATAATTATAAGCGTAATGTGTAACATAGGTAATTTAGTACCAGTCTATTTTTAAATTATATCAACTTACAGCAATTAATCAAAAACTATTTAGTATTGTTGTTTTCATACTTTGCATTTTAATTTTCTTAATAGAATGATTTCTTGTATCAGCATATGAAATCTATTTCTTTCTATTTTTTTAACATTATCTAGGTTGAGCATAGCTAGAAGCTTCACACCAAAAACTAATTTATGTCCGTGCCGATTTGTCCATAACAAGAATAATGTACATGGCTATTCAGGAGTGTTAAACCACCTGAACATGGTTCTACTATGGGAATTAATAGAAATCAAATGGACAGAACCATCTGAAGGTGGTTCAATAGTCTTAAATAACCTGTATAAAAAGTGCATCGAATATATTATAAGACAACAGTATCGAATATGACCTCAAAATGTTAATAATTATTTGATTGATATTTTGTATTCTGTATATCTTATAAGTAAGATAAATATTTGATCAGAACTTCATACTTACATTAATCTGTAATAACTGCTTTATAGAGAAGAAATATATTTTATATTTTTTTATTTTGTAATAAACTGACAGAGTTATTTCTAATATAAAACCATAGAACGTTCTGACTTACAATTATTTATAATTAATTACAACGAAATCTTGTACGAGATAATACTTAGTACAACAGAAAGGTACGCAATGAAACGTAGATTAGATATCGCAGTAGTGATTCCAATCTTAATAAACAAATTCTGTCAATTTAATAATTAAGAGACGTCCATGGCTTGTTCAGCTGCAAAAAATAACATTATATAAAAATAAGTGTTTTGATTGCTTTGCAATGTAACAGCAGAAAAGTAATTAAGAAAATAAGTTAATAATACTCACGCAATTCGTTAAACATAAAATCCTCTTGATACTCTTTCAAAAACTGTGAAGACCTGTTCTCATCCAGGAATAAAGAATAGACACGTTTCACATCCTCGATATTGACCTATAATTAAAATCAAGTTATTAAAAAGACCAGACTAGAGTACATACACTTGTATTAAGCTCATCTCAAGAACTTAGTACTGACCTCTGTACTTTTCCTCTTTCGACTAACGAGGGAAGCAGTAGTGATTAGTTGAATAGCGTATCTTAAAGAGGTTTCCAACGCAATCCTCGTAAGTACAGTTAAGGCATCATCCGCCATTTCGCAATCCTCCTCCTCGCATCTAATTTTTAAAATTTCCTTCAACTCTTTCTCTTGATAAGGAGTAGTTGGAACTATTATCATACGATCCAATAAATCGATCGGTATACCATGGGGACTCTTGTAATTCGTGCCTCTAATGCGCGTAATACCTACGATATAAAATAATAATTGTGAGAACAAACAATAATAATAAATAATAAAAATACGGTGAGGAATCAGAGACCTACCCCTGTTTGTTGCCATAATCACTACAGGAGCCATTTCATTTTCTAATGCACGATTCAGGAATGAGAAACATTCTATATCCAGCATGTGCACTTCGTCAATAAAGAGAACACCCGGTACAATTTCAGCTTTTCCTTCCTCCCGCCATTCAGCAACTTTCGCGTTTATTTGATCGCGAACTTCTGACTTTATTTCACCAGTGTCGCCAGAAAATAGAGCCAAAAATCCGTGGGTTCTACTGTTTATAACATCAACTTCGTGTAGAGTGACGGTATGCACAACTTCTTTGCGTTTTTGTAGTTCTCCTTCTGGACATTGCACAAATCGTGTTTGCGAACCAGTTGCATCATAATCACGAGCTCGTGTAAATGAACGACCCAGTCTATTTATTTTGCCAGTTGCTTTATCGATGGTAATAACGTCACCAGCTTGAACCTGAACAAAAAATTGGTCGAATAAGCTCAACCGTAAGAGTTATTGTTTACGCGAATTTGAAGTAATGCTATTATACCTTCTCCTTCATTAAACTGTCAATCATCTTATTCCCCAAATCATAAATGGTTTCCATTTCAGTAGTTTTTAATGTAAGTTTTCCTACTTTAGCACCAACCCCAGTTGCAGGCCTATCGACCTGAATTTCCACGACTTCACCTTCAATAATTTCTGTTTCTTCCTTAATTCTAACTCCAATTGATTTTCTTATGGCTTGAGTTAAAGCTTCTGTTTTGCTCATTTCTAATGAGTAAATTTCAGAGCCAGCCATAGATGTGAAAGGGGTATCTAAACCAAGAGCTTGAGCTAATCCCATGGCAATAGCAGTTTTACCAGTACCTGGCTGACCAGCTAATAAAACTGCACGACCTGCTATTTTGCCATCTTTAATCATTTCCAGGACAACACCAGTGGCACGTCTTGCCATAAGTTGGCCAACCATTCCTTGAGACACCTAGAGGTATAAAAACGTTAATAGATTCATGAGGTTTATTAGAACTCTAAATTACAAGACTGTTTTTAATATATACATTTCGTGGTTCTAAGCTGTCATCCAATCCTAAACCTCTGATGTGAGAATGAGCACCGATGCGCTCAATTCTAGTGATTTCTCGAACTTCCTGCACCTTTGCTGCTGCTGCTGACTACAAAAAATAGTTTTCATAAAAACAAACGAATAAGTATAATTATTGTATAATTATTCTGATTGGACATTTAGAATTACATAAATATAATTCTAGACTAAACTGCAGAATACGACTTCATCTCGAAGCTGACTGTGGATTGTTTAGTTTTTTTTAGATGAAGCTCTTCAAAAAGGACTCGTAATGTAGTTTTACCTAATTCTATAATAGTTATCTTGTCTTCTTGTCAGAAAAAACAAGCATAATTACTTTGTTAAAGTCATAGCTGGCTATTACTATGTTTAATCAATGAGACTACGTTACTATGCCAACTACTATTGACACAATCTGGAAAGTGCCTAAAGCTAAAAATGGAAATTATATAATTTTTAATATTTAAAATCTTTACTGTCTCTAATATCTAATTCAAATGACATGCTTTTGAAAGCATGAGTTTCCAGCATTACAGGTTATCTAAAACCAGCGCTCCATAAAAAGCATCAATAAAACAAACATTTCATTAAAACATTACACGCTAAAAGATAAAATAATATCAGATAAAAGAATACTAACGAAACTTGATGTCTAAATGAGTACCAATATTATAGATAAAGTTAAAAAATAAGTCCATATTTACCGCCATGTTTCACCAAATTTAACCGCACTTATGTATCTACGACACCAGAGAATATATATTATATGGAAGCGTAGGTCCCGTGTTAACATTTGGCAGAGGAAAAGTAATTTCACTTTTCTCCGGTAGATGGCGCGCCGGTGTATCAGTGTGCCACACATGTAAAGATTATGAAGCCACGCCTCTTGCGGTCGACTCCCTCGCACTCATGCTCACAGCCTATCGCGATCTCTTGTTTAGATTCATCTGCTTCCAACGCGGACGTGATAGTGCGTACTCGCTCGCATTACCGCATTTCTAATGTTTGGAATGATAGTGTGTTCTCGCTCATCTACGCGTCTGACAAGGAGACGGTTCGCTATGGGAATTATAGTTTGTATATGGGGCGTTCCGCTCCAAATCGGGCAGTTTGACAAATCTTAATCTTTGATTTCCTCAACTTTTTGACATTTTTTGGTACCCTTTGAAAAAATCTTCCAGATAAATTTTGAGATTCTTTTGATGACCCGTTCAAAGTCGTCCTTTTTCCGGTTTTCTGCCAACAACTTTTTGAATAATGGACCAAATTGGATCTTGGTTTTTTCAAAATTTTCGTTTTTTAAGGTAGTTTAAAAAAAACGAAACTATTAAAAAAACAAGATGTAATTTGGTCCATTATTTAAAAAGTTATGGGCAAAGAAACGAAAAAAGCGTGATTTTGAACGGGTCATAAAAAAAAATCTTAAAATTTACGTGGAAGATTTTTTCAAAGGGTACAAAAAATATTTAAAAATTAAACTAAAAATTAAAATTTTTCAAATTGTCCGATTTGGCGTGGAACGCAATAAATTAAATTAATAACAAATAATAAATAAAAATAAATTATAATAAAACAAAAACATAATTTTAAACAAATTTTTTATTCGAAAAACGCTCTTTTTATATTTTTACAGTTAGTTTTCGGGAAGTTTGTTTTTTTATTAAATTTCTTTAACTTTTTACATTATTTCGTTATTATATTTTTTTCACAGAAAAATATATATGGAGAAACGGATATAATTTTTGTCATGGGAATTACCAGTAAATAAAACACGCTGATTGCCTTCCTATTCGATGAGCCCTGGTCGCAGACCATTAAGCGTACAGCGAAACTGGCTTTAAATACGAAACTTACAACGGTATTAATTAGTTCTGTCAATTGTTTTCCGTCGACGCTTCCATGTGAGATGTAAAAGGCTATGAGCTGCTTCCACGAAAACTTTAGACCGCGAAACATGAACACAAGAGCATAGTTTGCTAGTTTATCAAAACGGCCAAGGTATCCAAGATCTTCGAACCCTTCAACGAGATTTTGTTTGGAGTTATACTCAAGCAGCTTCAAAATGGACATTTCATCCCACATGATAACGCACTGTCGTTCGTCTTTCGTCATTGTCTGAGCTTTTATAGTTAATAATTTAAATAGTTCGGTACAAATCCCAGTGGTTCATTTAATTTCGTTAGCCCTCTTTCTAATCAAAGAGACACACGGGAGAGAAATTATTTTACAACTTCTTAAAAACTCATAAGCTTTGGGCGACTTGTAAAACAGTCTTAGACTAAATTGTTTTTCATCTTCACTCCACGGAGAAACTTTTAAATGATTTAACTGCATTTTCATTAACAACAAACGATTTCTGTCTAAATAGTTCGCAGCGCCCGAGATCACTTCCGGAATGGATAATTTTTTAATACATTTTCGCGTTAAGTTACGTATTGTTTGCCGAGCTTTTTTTAATCGAGCTGTGAGCGTGGCATTATTTTTCATCAACAGCTGTTCTCGTCGAGATATCTGAGGATGTTTTTCTGCATTAACGGCAGGATCACGCTGTAGTGAGATTTCCGTTTCCGGTATACCGGAAGCTTCGGACACAGATATAAACAATGCAGACTGAACCGTTGGTGGCACGAATGTATTTATATCTACCGAATGTGTACTAGACTTATTTGTAGCTGGCAAGGCGTTTGACTTCAACTTCCGCTTGCTGAGTTTGCGATCAAAATTTTCAAAATCATTTGGCTGAAAGTGCGTAGAACAGATGCGTTGATTCTCCAGCTTCCGAGCTTCGACGTTCAACCACTCATCTCTCCCGACTAAAATGATCCACTTGCGTAGACTAAAAAGAAAAACATCACGTCCAGAACCGCATGTAATGATACAAGCACACACTAGAGGATGACACACCTGCAAATACATATACACACCCGCTCACTAATAAATATTCATAGGCACACCAGCAAAGAGGAAAAAAGAAAGTGTCATGCTATTTTCTCATAAATATGGAAACCAGTGAAAGTCATTATTGTAGTGCAAATGCAACTGCTCCATTAATAATTACAATTATTACTTACAATTTGAATGATCAGATATATCTTATCGCGTAGCATCGACTTATATAGTTACAAGAAACTGCCCGATGACAGTCGCTTGCAACGCTTACAAAACAATTCGGGAGTTATATGTTGTTTGGTTATAGTGATAAATCTATGTATCGCTTGAATTTATTTATCTGCAAATGTACGTACATTTTTTCGTTGTTGGGAAATCGATGGAAACTAAATTCGGGACTCGTCTGAGGAACATGTTTACATCCATTATAAGCACATTTATTAGTTACCGGCATGATTAGAAAAGTTATAATTAACAATTGAGAGACTGGAAATATACGAATATATTCGCAGTTTACTTTCTTTACGAAGCACGTGTATAGCAAGGCAGCACTGAAAACGCACCAGAAAGCGAGGGAACGAGTGTTATTTAACATACACGAGAGAGAATAAACGAAAACAGATGGATTAATAATAATTAATGAAAATAGCCACGTGATCTTCAAAACAACTGCTACCAGAGAACATGCAGGGTTAGTCAGTAGAAGTTGGCTGCAAGTGGCCGACATAGCAATGTGGCCTCTTCAAAAAATGACATGTAACAGTGACAGATTTCCATAAGCGCAAACTGACAGTTCGCATAGCAATAAGGTTTTTGAAATATTTCGAAATAGTTTTTATTTTGAAATAGTTAGGTTACTGAAATAATTAATTAATATTGTAATGACAAAATGTAATATCAGTTAAGATTTATTTTCACAACATTACAACATTCACAACATTTTCTCAATCATTATTAAATATGAAACATTATTAAACTATGAAAACATTATTAAATTTACCAACCGAGTGAATTAGATTAGATCAATCTACTGTTGAAGAGCCAAATTTGGAACTAGGAATTCTGTATATTACAACAATTAGAAGTGGGTCACCTGGGAGTAGTATAGAAATGGCTAGCAATTCTAAATGTGATGGTTTATATAGTATATTGTCTCTTTTTGAAAATGAAATAGATTTTCTTATATAAATGATTATTACTCCAACTTTACTATGTGTTCTATCTTTTCTAACTATATTAAAGTTCTTTAGATAAGACTGTTTGTCAGAGGAAAGCCAAAAATGTGAGAATTTGTATCTTTGCTGATTCATATTTATCTTGTAATTTTGGTTATAATTTTCAGTTTTGTCTGTCCTTTGTGCTTATTATTATTTTGTACTGAAAGCGTTTCCAGTAATTTGGTTAAAGCTTGTAGCTGTTTTAAGATAGGAGTGTATTTTTTTAAAGTATGAATAGCAGAGTTGAGTGGAGATTCAAAATTTACTAGTTGGGTTATTTATTGAGCATTTTCTGGTATTTGTAATTCAGTTGCTAATAGAGGACTAGGGGTATGTGTACAGAGTACAACACCATTCGTTGATGTATATGGAGGTTTTGGTTGAGCATCAAAATTGATTGATTTGATAGGCCATGGTTTAGGTGTAAAAGCCAGTATTGATTTCATATCATTTCTAAAGCCATTTGAATCTTTTGCTGCTACATCGGAATAATAGGGAGTACGTGGTTCAGAACAATACATACAATACATAGACGATTCTTCAGGTAGTATAACATCTCCTAAATTTTGGTAATCTGAGAAATTGAAGTTAGGAGATTGTGGTGTTAGAGAAGTTGAGCCTCTTTCAATAAACGCTTCAGCTTTTCTACATGTTATTTTCTTGTTTGCAGCTACAGTTAAAATATTTTTTTCATTGATTCTGTTTGGGCAGTTTATATCAGAGGATGAATGGGTAAACCTACTTTGTGTGTCCCAATCTCAAACATTTTTGACAAACCTTTATAGAAGGGATGTATGGACTGCCTTCAATAAATGAATATGCATATATATTCTGGCAGATTATACCCTTCGAAAGATAAAAGTACTATTCGCGTAGGAACCCATTCCATGTTGCCATCTTTAGTTTCTTTTCTATTGAATCTTTTTGCTTCTGAAACAACTGTTGCACTTGATGATCGAGCACCATTAAGTAAATCTTGGTTAGTTACATCAATCTTGACATTTCTGATAATTCCTTGTTTGTAGATTTGTGTAGATGGAAAAAAGCTATCATGTTGTGTTTATTTAACAAAAAACAGAATATGTTTATCATAAACCGGCCACTCGGTACGATAACCGGTTAACCTCAATTGAGATAATTCTCTTAGCCAGTGTTAGTATTCTAAGGGGATAAAAGTAAATAGGAAAGAAAAGAAGGAAAGTATTCACTAGGTGACTTCTCCGCCTCTCACTTCGCTAGATTTTTTCGCTATTTGCTATCTGCTACATTACACCTCTCAAAGAACGCCCGCGAGCTAACGCTCATAATGCAAAGTGCTCCACGTGAGCGATGAATGTGAAAAGACGCGCGATCATAGCAAGAGGCGGAGCTAGTAATTTATCGGTGTGTTTGTTCACGTCGATACAAGCAGCGCTCGCAGTGGCTTGGGTGATCACTAACCGATCACCCCAGCGTTTCGTGACAAACCCTCCCATAAGGCCTACGCTTCCATATAATATATGTTTTCTGACGATACCTACTGTTACCGGCAATTTTCAAGAACATATTCTAGTAGGCGGTGGCTATCCATTGCACCGATTATTTCATTTAATTTACTTCTCTTTGGTTCAGAGTGCGTTAGTGTGCTCAAATAACAGGAAATTTCTCCCTATTATTTCATGCTAAACAATTTATCAGTCGGTACGATAGAAAGAGTCCCCACCATGTACTTTCTTCAGTTCTACATGTATTTGATCCGATGCTGTGCGCATAGCTATATCCTCATACTATTTCAGTCGCCGGCAATGAATCGTGCCAGTGTGACCTTCATTTGAACCTGACAGCAGAATCCCGTACTCGTCCACCAGTCCCTGGGATAATTTCCATTTTTAACAGAAAATCATCGCCGAATCGGTAAGTCAATTGAACAACATTAACATTCGATGGCATTATCCTTATTTTCTGAACGATTTTGTCATTCAGTGCTCCATTATATAAGATGTGAGACAATCATCTCACTGACAACATTTTGTTTTCATCGATGTACACGTTTTCCCTTTTGAGTGTCGAGTTGGACACTGCTTTGCCAGTTGTAAGAATCTGATACTACGTGCTCCTACCTTATCTTAATGTAATCTTTTATATTTTAGATTGTGGTTTTAGTAAAATGTTACTTCATAGATAAGAATTTTTATCATTATTTACGGTATTTTATAGGTGTTTTTTATTCACTGAATTAATATGTTGGAGCCGACGATATGGTTAGAATTAGATACTAAGCTTTAAGTAAATCTACGTATTGCTAATTGTTTGTTGTAAACAAAACAATACTTTGATATTTTTTACATAGAAATTTTGTTCAAAGATGTATAAACAGTTGCTCTAAAATTAAGGATCATTTTATTTGACAAAACTATATATGCTAAAGTCCTTGCAAAGTAATGAAAACGAGTTTTCTTGTTCCCTAAGCCGAAAGTACCGTCTTCCCGGCCGCATTTGAGTCCGGGAAGAGCCACTTTTGTGGCCTGCATATAAACAAATGCAAACAAGTGAATGTTCAATCATAAACTCTAACTGTTCATAACCGTAAATTTGTAATGTCAGTTGAATAATAAAAACGGGAAGACGGTACTTTTGGCTTAGGGAGCAAGAAAAATAGTATACGACACATGGCCAAAAAGTTAAATGCCCCTGCGTATGTGATATAAAAGCCTCGGCTTCGCCTCGGCCATTGTATCACATACGCCAGGAAATCCAACTTTCTGGCCTAGGGTCGTAATATACTATTTCTCAGACTATTCCAATCAGATTCTTCAATTATTTCGATGTACGTATTAACGCCTCATGCTAAAAGGGTCTACGAAAATACATATCTATTATCCAATTCTTATCTGCCTAAGAAGTAATTTTCTCTCTAAGATAAACTGGTGTCCGTTCAAGCTTGCGGATAGAACTCATCGTGACCTTTTAACGTAATCAGTATCACGATTTACGATTTAGAGAATTAACGTCCATGTAACATCGTAATCCCTGGCCAAGGCATTTCAGTACTTTTCAAATAATTACAAAATATATTACAGCAATTAACTAATCAAAACTACAACGTAACTGCGTCGGTCATCCATGGAACTTATGCTGCTATAAATGATAATTTTGTTTTATTATCAGCACTGACACATATAGGGCGCAAAGAGTAACGCATAAGACGAATAACAACAGAAGTGGATTTAGGAAATAAAAATGTATATTGAATTAAAAATTATATTAAATAATTTTTCAAAAATCATTGTACACATATACCAATCAATATGTAATTATAAGTACGCTTAGGCAATTGTTATATGCTTAGAATTTTAATATCGATTTATTAACGATTACAACAGTATTGTTATATCTATAAATATCTGTTAAATTAATATTCATCAATTGAAATTAACGTGAAAGTCAGAGTGGACGGGTTTTTTGTTACAAGTTATATATATATATTTTTATTTTACAGTTAAAATGTCACGGGAACGCGCCTCCAGAAGATTTTACCGTGTAGAAAGCACTCATGATCTGACGGACTTTATGGACCGCGGTCATTCCGCACAGCATGAGAACCGATGGAATTTTGAAGTAGCATGGGAAGCTGCCAATAAAGGTATCCTTGACCGCAGAAATAGAAGATAATAGATCATTTAAAAAATGGCTCATTCTATATAGTAACGATAGTAGTCGATTTGCGATATCGATACGTTTGTTTCTTATCATTGACACATTATATGTATATCATACAATCTACTACGTGTAATATCAGATATTAAGTTATGCATGGAATGTTATTATTCATCAATGTATTCCATTCCAGTGGGCGGAATATATACGGTTATAAGATCAAAGGCCTATGTCTCGACCGAGGAAATGGGCGATCAGTATTGTCTTTTGGGACCGTACAAGGAAGCTTGCGCCAGAACGGAAGTAGAAGAAACTGACTTTCCTCACCATAGTCCTCTTCAAAAAGCCGTTCAGGTTTTACGTGATCAAGGATTCAAAGTAAGCATCTATTGTACGCATGTTTCAGTTACATCAGAGACATTACATAGCCTTGGGTTATGAGACATTGAATCAGTGAGTGTAAATGTGGATGTTGTCGAATATCTGGCAAAGCTCCAAATCATGAAGATTTTAGTTCAAGGGTATGTTGTCCTCTGATAGTTTATCAAGTAGACGAATTTCCTATTCCACTTGCCAATTGAAACGCAAGAAGATTAGGAAGAAATAGTACATACAACCAGATATTAATTGATGTAGAAAGATTCATGTAACAGTTTATTAATAGAAAGAATGGAATCACGAATATTTGATTAGGTGGTGACGGGAACATGGCTGGTTGATGGCAACCCTCAAATAATTTTATTTGATATTGGAAGTGCAGCGTGGAAGTTGGATGAGTATAAGCAGGAATTATGGGCCACCTGCAATCTTGGAATTCCTCATCTGGACATTGAGGCCAATGACGCCGTTATTCTTGGATACCTTGTCTGTCAGTTTATCTCTGAATTCAGGTAAATTATTATGTAATATCACACAGTATACATATGTAATTTTGGCTTCATTTTCAACATTTATTTTAATGATCCATTTATTTTCTATATTATAGAAAGGCCGCTGAGGAGTATTCAACTGTTCATCCACGAGTTGTGGTTCATTGTCACGAATGGCAGGCTGGTGTTGGTTTGATTGCTTTACGAACGAGACACGTAGACGTTGCTACTGTTTTCACAACGCATGCTACACTTCTTGGGAGATATCTCTGCGCTGGCAAGATCGATTTTTACAATAGTTTAGATAAGGTAATTAATATTTCAACCTGCAATATTTGCTATCAATCTTCAACGACTGCGAACAATTGTATATAATGTATTGTAGTTCAATGTTGATGAGGAAGCTGGCAAACGTCAGATCTATCATAGATATTGTATGGAACGTGCAGCTAGTCATCTTGCTCATGTGTTCACAACAGTTTCTGATATTACCGGCATAGAGGCGGAACATTTGCTCAAACGGAAGCCCGATATCATCACACCTAACGGATTGAATGTGAAAAAATTCTCGGCGATGCATGAATTTCAAAACTTGCACGCTATTAGTAAAGAAAAAATAAATGAATTCGTTAGGGGTCATTTCTACGGGTAAGTGAGAAAAGCATCAATCGATATTTTTGAAGCCTCACGATTTTTTGCAATTGTACTTATCCATTCACCTCATAATTTTAGACATTATGACTTTGATCTGGATAAAACATTATACTTCTTCATTGCTGGACGATACGAATTTGGAAACAAGGGAGCTGACATCTTCATCGAAGCATTGGCTAGATTAAATCATTATCTTAAGACGTCCAGACCGGATGTGACTATAGTTGCTTTTCTTATTTTCCCAGCGCGCACAAATAACTTCAACGTCGAGTCGCTTCGTGGTCATGCAGTAAGTCTAATACTTGCGTATTATTATATAATGCATATATATTTGCGTGATTGTGTATTTATATATAATTTTCGAAAATGTTCCTCTTATCATTCAGGTTACGAAATCTTTGAGAGATACTATACAAGATATACAGCAAAAAATCGGAAAACGCATGTATGAATTGTGTTTATCTGGTCGTATGCCAGAAAGTCAAGATCTACTACTAAAAGATGACATTGTCAAAATCAAAAGGTAAAGCAGTAAGATAAAACCTAAATATATACTTTTTTTAATAATTAATTCTTACAACTAAGGTGTCTTTATGCATTGCAACGAAATGGCTTACCTCCAATCACAACACACAACATCGTGGATGATTGGAATGATCCAATATTGAGTGCAATTAGGAGATGTAATCTTTTCAACACGGTCAATGACCGCGTGAAGGTAATACAGTATAGTGAAAGAAAATCGTATAGGAAAATTATGATGAATCGTCACTAGTGATTTCTAACGAATTAGTATAATGATACAGGATAAAATGTCACGTATAGCAAATACAAATTTTTATCCCACAGGTCATATTCCATCCAGAGTTCCTATCTTCGACCAATCCTCTTTTTGGTTTGGATTATGAAGAATTCGTCAGAGGATGTCATTTAGGTGTTTTCCCTTCGTACTATGAACCATGGGGTTATACACCTGCTGAATGCACCGTGATGGGAATACCGAGCATTACTACGAATCTGTCTGGTTTCGGTTGCTTTATGCAAGAGCATATAGCAGATCCTATGAGCTACGGTATTTACATTGTAGATCGGCGGTTCATAGGTTTGGAAAATACTGTCCAGCAGCTCGCTCAGTACATGTTCGATTTTGCCCGACTTAACAGAAGGCAACGTATCATTCAGAGAAATCGTACAGAACGTCTAAGTGAATTACTCGACTGGAAGAATCTAGGCATTGTATGTATTATAGTGATTTTTCAAGTTATTTTTTGTTTGTAAAATAACTACTATCATTTTTTTTCTTCTTTTCTTGCCTCACAGTATTATCGGCAGGCAAGAATCAAGGCACTGATTACTGTGTATCCAGAACTTGCATCGGAATTCGACGAAGGTGGTGGCAGCCGATTTAATTTCCCAAGGCCGATCAGTGAGCCGCCGTCGCCATCTTCTTCTCGGCATACTACTCCTGCCGCATCAGTTCATGGATCGGAAGATGAGGAAGACGAAGTTGACGAAGAGAAGGAGGTAACTGCAATTGTTTTTGTTATATTTTAGTTCGAAGGACGGTTGAGTTATTTTGGGTTTCTTGCAGCTTGAAGAATTGCGACAAGCGAACGGAAGATAAACACAAATTTCACGATGCGTCCCAGGCCTCTGCGATGCGTTAGGCATACATCATATACTTGTAAGACATTTGTTTGTACGTCAACGAGATTCCTGGCTAATCGAGTCTTGAAAATTCGTAACGTCGTGTGTAAAAAAATATATCGGTTTTACGTTATATTTCATCAACCTGTAGGTACAATATGAGCTCGAATATTTCGCAAAATTGTGTTCCCTTCTACAATAATCATGCCGACATTAGTAGTTACTATGCCATTTGATTAAGATCCGTTTCAGTTATTGGCATCAGAATGAAGAGCTATAGTTGTAACGAATCCATAGGTAATTACGCGAATAGTATTATTCCTTACCATTAGTCGCCATAACCAGTTCATTACCAGCAATAATCTGTCATGCATTGCCAAATAAGAATGTATAACGTTCGCAATAAGTGAAGAGTACGAATATGTCACGATATTTCATTTGATTAGTAACTAGGTATAGTATATGGGAAGTTAAGACATCAATTTCGAAAGAGCTTCGTGAAGTGGTTTCACATGGCAATACAATTTTTTAACGCGTACACTCCTTAAGTATACTTTACAATATGTATGTTGTATAAACCTCCATCTTTACCACAATATTGTTACAATGAGAAAGTATGCAGTATGTTATGAACATAAAAGAATTGTGTTATTGTTATATTAGACAGTTATACTTTTATTAAAAACAAAAATAGAAAACCACAAAATTTTATTTAGTTGTTTTTTTGAAACACCAATAGATTTTCGATGCTTTCAATTAACTGGTGCGAAATACTGCTCCGTTTATATTCCTCTCTTAATTTTAGGGGCAGAATTGCTCTTATGAGTATGGAATATTGCGGAGCTACAGCAGTAGAGTCCCTCTACTAGAGGGGTTTAACATCACCATCTGGCGGAATTCTTTCGAACTAACGGAAAATGCTCCTGCGTGCTCGGTGTTTAGGTTCCACGCCCACTTGCGGAATTTTCCAAAACTACGAAATGCCTAAACAGCTCCATCTGCGGCATCTAACAAATAAATGACAGTTACAGAAAGGACATTTTCAGCAGTCACCTACAAATAATATATTCGGCAAATGTAATTAGACTAAATACATACGTTTTTATATGTTTTATTTGGTTGTAATTGAAGTCTAAAACATTTGTCTTCACAGTAAAATGTATACTAGTGTTATTTACACATTGCATTCCATTCATACAGCATACATACATTTATAGCATACAGATTAGTTACCCATATTTAGTCATACAATTTTTTCATGGATCTATTCCAAATATGTAATTCGAAAGTACAGAATAACTTAAGTGAAACATCAATGCGACGAAAGCGCACTGTCGTTTGCGTGAAAGTTTGAAATAAAAATCCAGACAATCCTTCATTCAAAATTCAATGTTCAACAAAACAAAGAGCCTGCGAGAGAATAATGAAGATTCATACATCCTGCACTCAGGGCGAATTGCCTGGTACATTCTTTCTCGTATGCTTCCCCTATAAATAGTTTACGTTACTCTGCAATGCAGAAATTAATCTAATAATTGGCTCTGACTTCGGATTCAGTATTATTACAATTAATAATTACAAAATTCCATGACATCATTACTCGCGCCATCTATGTATATACGTCTACTCGATTTGCATCTCCGAATTATTAAAAAAAATACTCACGATAAATACCTCATTGGTTACCCTGAATTCGCATGGATGTCCTTGCCACGTCCTTAATAGGACCGAACAGTTTGGCATGATTCCATGATAGAAAACAATAGTGATACATTTATGTTTTCAATATTAATTTTCTAGCATCTATGACCGATTGGAAGGACAATTATCGTCGTCGCTCAATGTCATCGCTCTGGTCGCAAGCCTTGGAAAATACACTTAAAGGAATAAAGGGAGACTCGCACAAGGCATAAAGTCAACCGCACTTTGTCGTCCCTTGGATAAACTGAAGGTGGCATGAACTATTATATATTAATTATTGACATAATATACAAAATGGGACACTACAAAAAGTTACATGTTTATATGCAGGAAACATTACATCTGGCATTCGTAACGGTTACAGTCGCTCCCCATTTCTGGTTATGCAACAGAGTATAATATTTACAAATAGAAAGAAAAGAAAGAAATAAGTAAACGATTAATGCGCATGACGATTAATACTAAATCTTAACGTAAGGTGTATAACAATGTACAAATTCGATGAAAAGCTTCACGTGGTTAAAAATGTTTTCCCGCAATGACGATTAACATAATTAATAATTTGGAATGATGAAAACATTATCATGAGGTGGTTAAGTGCATTTAATATGGTTTAATGAGATTCAACGTCTAACGCTTCGTGAACAGCAGTTTCTCTCAGTTCTATGTGAATTGAGATACAGTTACATTAATACTTGATATCGAAAAATGGCATGATACCCGAATACAAAATACTTTTTCTTACTATAATTTATGATTAACGCAATTTTAAATGTGTATTATTGAATACAATGCCTATCTAACTGAAAGAGAATATCATTTGCATCCACGTTTTATTACCCGTTCGGAGAAGACTTTATATTTTTGTACAAATTGAATAGTGCCAATTGTATTGAAGTCGTGAAAGGAAGAAGAAAAACCATCGAGTCAACCAAGATGGTCGTATCGATTTGTTGAAGACAAAAAGTTTACAAGGTTTATTCAACTTTTTACCATAACGCATTATTAGCGCTACATTAGCATTGATTCTAATACGTTATCCTAAATGGCACAGTTTTGACACTACACTATGAGAGCGACTTTACAGAATAAAGAAGGATAGTGTACACAGTTAGAGAAAAAAAAGTAACAATACGTAATTCGCTACAAAGTTAAAAATATTAATAATACACATTTTATTTTATTTTTCTTTTAATATTTCGATACCACGAACATACATGCAATTCCTTTTTATCCCCGTAAAATTCGTAAATCTGTTATTTGTTAATTGAGCACAATCATTAAAAACGGAAATGTACAGAATCCCAGAATTGCAAAAGATCCATCTCTCTTGCACTTACATGCGTATGTGAAAAAATATGTGAGTATACGTCAATTCCTATGACAACATTCACTGTTACTATTGACAAGGTAAAATCATTTACAAGGCCTGCGCATACATTGATTTGTAGATTTCGGAAAACGTTGTCGATCAGTATAAAAATAACATGAATCGTACTCACAATGTACTGCACTCACGATACCTCTTACGTTTTTTTTTCTATATAAATAACAACAAGTGTTTCGCTAACACGACGAGGAAATTTATATGAGGAAAGGAAGTATTAAGGAAAAATTGACGAACTGAAGTATGATGACATTTAACGGTGGTAATAACAGCGCGCGATGCACAAAATAGTGATACAGATAAGGTTCAAATGGTACATCAAGTCCGAAATCCAAGATCAGATACTTGCGCATGCCCATAAATTTCTGAATATTTCTAGAAAGCCGATTAATTACTTTACGCAACGCTCGGATACATGTAATAATTAAATAGACATTTCTCATGTATTGACATGTTTTTCTTTTTAATATATCGGATAATTATTTACGAATTTCTCAATGTTCTCGTTGAACTTTAGTCGCAGGGGAAGGAAGAAAGTTTTTCAACCCTTAGACCATAGGTACAGACAGCCTTTGGTTATAAAACGAAAAACTATTTAATAACGTTACACGATATCGCTTAATATTTCGATAAATATTCATTTGACCAAACTGTAATCTAAACTAGGAGTCTTTAGTAATTGGCATTTCACGGCGGCATATGGCCTCAAAAAGTATGATAAGCGGGTTAAGTATGTTTGCCCTTAGATAAAGACAATTGGAAATACGGAAGTGTGCCACGGTACTTTTTAAATGCTTTCAATATGCTTGCAATGCTAAAATGTTCCATAGGTTTTTTTTTTTTATCTAAAAGCGCGTAATATTGAAATTTTTGACGCACGTTAATCGTACGGTCCCCCAAAAATCCATTATCGCCATGCAAGAACAATTAACAATAATGTACTGAAAGGATGTCAAACGTGACAAGATTAACGTACATACTCAATTTAACGTTCGAATGACAATAAATTACAATTTGAGGAGAGGAAGATACAATTATCACCGACAAAGCAGTTGCATTATCGCGCGATAGCTGACGTATAAATATTAAAGTTTGTTCGGTTAGTGACTCTGGCACAATCGCAATTAGTAACATTGTTTCTGGCTAGAGCGGCAGGATAACTGGAGTTGACGTACGTTACGAAATTATGTCTAACTGTTTGCGTGTAATGTACGTGGTAGCAACAGAAAGATCTTCGTACAGAACTACCATTGGCAGGAGGGTCAGGAACGAAATGCGTGTCTCCGATTCCGTACGCATGATCGCGACGACTGAAGTTACGTCTGAGGTCCGTTGTTATTTAATCTCCGTATCATTGCTTGCGTGGACGGATTTCATTATCTCTTTCTGATTTAGGTATGATTTGATTGCGTTCCCCCCATCCTCTGCTGCATCATGCTCAGGAGCAATTCCGAGTACTGTTGCATCATGTTCACCACCTTACCTTGGTCCTGACCAGCGACTAATTCTTGAAACTTTGCCGTAGCCTCGTTCGCGGTGACGGTGTCGTTGTTGCTGTCTTCGTGACTTCCTCCGGTTCCTGCGACGAGCCGAAGGGTGCGCATCGCTTCGTTAACGGAAGACTCAAGACCGCGTAACATGATGTCTCTGTCGAGAGCTGGATTCGATGGATCGCCACTGCTGTCGATGGTCAGTCGTTTGTATAGCTGGACGACGTTGTCGGCTGTCCTGGTGAGTTCGTCGGCGATGGTATTGCACAGTTGAGTGGACACTGGAAAGAAATTATTAGATGGCCAATGAGATGCAGATATTCAAATAAATTCTCTTTGAAAATCCTTGTAGCTTGCGGTAAGACGCTGTGCCCGTCGCAAGTTTGGTGAAAGCAGGAGTCACTGTGTAAAGGTCCTTTTAATGGATGCGACACTCTTTATGCTTTTTTTGCGTGACTGTACATGGTGTGACAAGTGCTTTTACCAGTGGATTACACGTATTAAGTGAAATCGTGCAACGTGCGGATCTTACGGCTTCTAAAATCCGTATGAGACCATGCTATTATGATCGGTTGTTTCTATGATGTTTTTGTTCTTTATGCTATTGGTATGAAATCTAAAATTTTCATTCTATTCTGTTAATTTTTTATACGATTGACTAGGTCTGGAAAGATTTTTATATACGACTTGCATTCGACATATGAGTAATATGTATAGTTTGTCTGTGGTTCTGAGTATTATGTACAATATTTACAAATTTTGTGTAACTATTTTCCGAGTTGTCTGTTCTGATATCCATGAAAGTTTCAAGAACTTAATTCGACTGTTGATCGAATAAGTAGTATTGATAATGGAAGAAAAAGATTCTGTAAAAGACGTGAGTGAGTATAATGATTGTCTACAATTTTGAAATTTTATTTTGATATAATTAGTCAACTCTCTGTGTTATTAATGTTGTTTAACTCAAGCTGTGAATCACTCCAAGCTAATTCGGAATAGAAAGAACGTAGCAAGTATGTACAGCAATCTACAGACTAGAATCTAGTCTGTACTATATCTTGCTAATGATTTAATGTAAAATTGTCAATCATAGCATGATCACTTACAAATTTTTTAATATATCGAATGATTTATTACATTCACGGCACAGCATTCTCAATAGGCGTCTTTAGTTTACCTAATTTGTTATCCATGTCTACTGTAAGAATAATATTTTGTTAGATGATATCCCACCACATGTCGATGACCATGAAAACAAACTGAATTCAACCGAACGCAAAATATTGATTAAGTTAGTAAAGCATAGTTTTACACAAAGAGTACGAGAAAATAAAAAATCTGTATTAGTATAATTTTGTCACAGTGAAAGATAAAATTTCCGAAGAACTTACGCTGTGCGCTGGCAACATCAATGGCGCGGTCAGTATCTTTCACAGGAAGTTCCTGAGGACTGGGTTCAAGTTGATTACGATTAGCTACGGCCATTCGCGAGTTTCCTTGACCCGTTGTACCTCCTGTTCGGCCATTTGTTATGACTGACGATGATCCAGACCTTCTTATTGTCGCATTGGCTATACTTAAACTAATCAGCAACAAAAATACAATAATGAGTATATTTATTAATTTCTTAAACCTTAGCATGAATTTATCAAAGACTAATAAATAATTTACCTAGCTGAGGAATGGTCGATACTGATACTTCTAGGCCTTGGAGGTAAAGCTGGCTTTCCTCCATTTCCATTTGACGAAGTGTCTTCCGAGCTGGAATCCTCTTGATTACCAACTTGACTTAGATTTACTGTGAGTAGAGAGGGGACAAAATTTATAGTTAAATATAAGCCAATGTTGATATGATATCAATTAAATTGTCTTGAGATTTTACATACCACTGGAGTAAGCTCCTTGCATCCCCCGTCTTCTTAAGACTGAGGGAAGATTCGTACTTGACGAAGAGTTCGATTTGATCTGGTGATTGGCTTTATTCTGTGAACTAATTGTTGGTCTCATCAGTCCACTCATCCTATTGTTTCCAGATTGAGTGTTCCAACTTCTTCCGCTTACTGCTACTCCCACATCTGACTCAGAGTCACTCTGCTAAACAAATGCATTAATAAGATCATTTGTTCACTCTTAATATTTGTGGTAATAGGTCATTTGCGTGCCATAAATTTTATAGATACCTGATTTAGTACACCAACGCTACTACTTCTTGTCATATGAGTTGAATGACTCTTTCCGGCTACATGCCTAGACTGTCCTCCACTGTTAGCACCTCCACTTCCGCTTCTAGAGGAAGTGCTTGTATTTTTACTACCTAGTTTTCCTGCAACTGAAGAACCTGGTGAGCGAAACGCCATCTACTTAGCGTGCCTGGCATGCATTGTTATAGAAAAATCGTTACATTTAAACAGTAAGTAATATAATTATCAATTATTATGAACATAGTAGAAAAGTGTGCGATCATTGTTAAAACATTAAAAAAAAGAAAGGTATATAGTATTGTTTCTCACAATCGCAAAGAAACAGGACTGCTTCGACTGTTCCTGTAATTGCTGAAGAGCGTGCATCGAATGCAGATCTAAATGCAACGAGGACATGGAGGATGAAGGATACCTTGAATCGGGCCATGCAGTAATCGGTTTGGTGGGCTGACGGATAGGTCGCTGAGCGAACAGGCGCGTCTCATGCCACTGCCATCCTCTTCGCCGTGAACAACCTTTGATGACAGTCGCCCCGCGCTAGTGCCAACTGTTGACAATACGCAGGCACATGCACTAAACTACCAACTGTACACTGACGCTTTTTGTTATAAAGAAATATTTGCTATGTCTTGAAGCCGACAAAACAATAAATGAAAAGATGCCATGTGACCTCATGAATGCTATTGCTACTTGCATAAGCGATTGCAAAATGAATCAGGCACTTCTTGCATAACGTGATATATCGTCAATATCAAGAAAAATTATTTTGGACGTACAAAACTTAAGCTAGAATATAGCTTTCAGAAAAAAATTGTGAAAAGAAAAGTTTTTTTAAGAATAGTCAAAGTGTTTCAACTGAAATTATATAAGATGTAATTAAATTAGTGCTATAATGCAGGAAGAATTTTGGGAATGAATAAGTAGGGATAAGGGGGGATAAGCCAGAGGAATTTTACAAACATGCGTTTGCTTGTATGTCATGCTAAAAGAAAAAAAAAATCCGTAAAGCCACGTTTTTCATAAACTGTCATTCAAACTGAAAAGTAATTGCTGTCTTTAAAAATGAAAAGTGATATTCAATGTATGTAAATTGATGGTTGTAAAATCTGTACCGCGTTGCTTATATAATCTGATTTTAACAAAAGAAATCTGCGTGTCCTTAATAAATGATAATAATTTCATGTTTCTGCACAAGCCGTGCAAGCGTCTTGTATCCAATATATACAGGGTGTTCGTTATGAAACGCACTGTAGTAACACTATTACATTCCTTTTCAAATTCTAATGAATACGTGTATTTTCATTTTTTATTTCATATATCAAAATTTTGAGATAATCAAGGTTGAAGTTGCAGTAATGCGACCAATCAGAACGCGTTTAAACGGAACGTAGATGACGTCGCGAGCCAGCCCGCAAGACCTGCTTGCACTAGGCCAGTAACACTAAGAGTATCGTCGTTGTGTCCCTGTTTATCTGCAAGTAGTTGAGTAAGATACAAGAGACAATACTCTTAGTGTTATTGGCCTACTGTAAGCAGGCCTTGCGGGCTGACTCTGGACGTCATCTACGCTCCGTTTAAACACGTTCTGATTGGTCGCATTACTGCAACTTCAACCTTGATTATCTCAAAATTTTGATATATGAAATAAAAAATGAAAATACACGTATTCATTAGAATTTGAAAAGGAATGTAATAGTGTTACTACAGTGCGTTTCATAACGAACACCCTGTATATATTGGATACAAGACGCTTGCACGGCTTGTGCAGAAACATGAAATTATTATCATTTATTAAGGACACGCAGATTTCTTTTGTTAAAATCAGATTATATAAGCAACGCGGTACAGATTTTACAACCATCAATTTACATACATTGAATAATGAAATTGATACAATATAATAGCCAGAAATGAAGTCGCTATGTATAAAAATAAGTATGAAGCATTGACATTAGAAGAACTTCGTGCATCGATCACCTAAGTATAATCGAATGACTGTGGTTGCAACTACCGATGTAACAAAATACGTTGATTATAAGAATATCGACAAATTTTCTCTCCGATAACTACTCCGCCTTTCCTTCAACACTGGTAATTACAATTTCAAGTGATATGTTGTTACAACAAATTTTTGCTGCTCTGTAAATCTTTTCCTACGCTCTGAGATACCTGGATAATGATGCTTCGAAGGGAGTACAGATTGGTTGATAGTTGGCAAAGTCTTCGTCCACTTCATTTGACTCTGACATCGTGAAGCGGGCGGCCATAATCGTTTTGGTGAATTGGCACAACTTGAGCCAGGCGTTGATGATCCACTTTCCATTAAAGATTTATCCATCGCAGAGATATCAGCGCAATCACTATCTTCACCACCGGAATGAGCACGAATTTCACGTCTGAACATGGAACATCTTGTATCCCTTTCTGCTTCGAGTTTAGCAAAATTCTCTTGACAGTGTATCAGTCTCAAATCCTTTCCTTTCACGAAATATTGTTCTCTTCTGACAAGATTTTCAAATTCCTTGGAAAGAAGTTTAACAGTCCCTTCTATTGCTCGAGTTATCCTTATATCAACACTTGTGTCTGTATTGTCGAATTCCTTATTTTCAAGAGGCAAGGTGTTATTGGATACTTGTAATTCTGCAGATTGCAATTCAAAGGATGGAGCACCGTTTGGCTCTAAGGAGTCATACGACTCTTGTGTGTCTTTGGTAGGAATCTCGTTTTCAAAGCATGTTTCACAGTCTCGTTCATGGGATGAACTTTGTCCTATGCTCGAGTTATCACGATCCTTGCTATCGTCGTCTGCATTGTTAATGTTTTGATATGACAAATTTTCAATATTGTTATCGGTACCATATATAGCTTCTTTAGGTAAGCTCATACTGCTACTGTGATTCACTTGCAAACTAAAATATTTATTTCTTTCCGTTTCACTTTCACAAGGCTGAACAGAATAACTTGGCGACTGTATAAATCTATCGCATTTTTTCTCTGATTCGTGGTTGTCGAATTCTGGAGTATTTGCATTAACGGGATTTGGTGTTTGTTCAGACGACTGTAGATTTCGTAAAGCCTGCGGCTGCTGAGTGGATGGATCCACATTGTATTTATTCCAAGCTGGTCTTGCTCTGTTACGCATACTTTGAGTACGGGAAGAATTTCTCTTTGGCTTAGGCGGTTTGTGCGCTACAAAATCGTTTAAGATCAACATGGACTTTGGCTCAGTAGGTACCTTTAAGCTATTACTTCTGGAGTTGGCTATACTGTTCGATCCGTCATTGAAATCAGTACTTTTTTCATTATCGTTATCAAAATTGAACTCATAGTAAACACATGTCTTTGGCTGTACATTGTCGTTCATAAAATTCATACCAGCCTTTGTTTCGTTCAGTCTTGTATCTTGAAGAGATTTTGATCTAAAGACTGCTCTGTGCAGACTCGAAGTATCAGCTGCTTGTTCAGTATTAACCGTACTCTCGACGGTATGATTAGGATTTCCACTGTAAGTTTCAGAGTTCTGTCTCTTACGCTTATAATGCGAATCGAATAGCATTTCTAGGGGTGCAGATTTTACCAGAGAATCTGAGTCATCCGTCAAGATACTTTCGGTACTTCTGTGATCGGCATTTTCTTGCAGTGGGAACATTTGATAATCAGACTCATCAGTCAGGATACTCTCTTGACTTCTTCCAGCTTGCATCTTGCGTCGAGATAAAAAGAAACTCGCACTGGAATGTCTGTCGTGATCATACTGATTACAATCCAAAAGTTCAGCACTACCTTTTGAAAAGGATTCTACTGACGCATCCGAAAGGATACTTTCCTGGGAGCGAGTCAAAATTTTCTTGTAAAGACTCTGATAATTGGAATAGTTTTTACTTTCCGTGAGATTATCTCTTTGGATATTTATCTGATAATCGCTTACGCATCTTCGTGGGGGGTTTTTGAAATCACCCTCTAAGGAATCGTCGCTGAAGTTTCCATTTCCTTCCTCTTCGTCCTCGTCGGAGAGCTGGGTAAGAGTCTCGATGTTATGCTCATTCATAGCTGGTAGACTCTCAAAGGACTTTGCAATATTCTCCATTTCTTCCTCGTTGTTATCGAGGCCTATGAAATAGCTGCAGGACTTTCTCTTCTGTGCGAATCTCGCGAAACGATTGGCATTTTTTCTGCAGCGTTCCTTCAAGATTTTTAATTCCTCGCAAACCGGCGACTCCGGCAATGACTGATTAGCCTTATTTATGGACAGCTTATACTTTTCAGTTTTCTTAAGAGTCAATGTTAGCGGACGGCATACTGCGGTCTTTGCGCGCTCGCTTATGCACGAGGTGGTTTGACTTTTGGGCATACACTTTTCGTTTGGTACTTCGAGTATGGATAAAGCATTTCCCACACCCTGGACTTTGTTAGCGAGTTGCTTGGGGTTAAATTTGGGTTTTGGATTTGGCATGGGCTTGCAGGGATTAGTCGGTTTTGCGGAGTGGTGTGTTTGATCTGATCTGTTACCTGTGTTGAGTCTATTTTGACGATGATGCTTTTCCGGAATGTGACTGCTTAGGTCGGAGATGCTCTGGCTGGATTTTAACGATGACTTATAACCAACCTATTTCAGAATGAAATATTTCACGATTACGCACCATTTTCTTTATATAAAAGATTTCAGCCAACAAACAATTACTCACGCTTTGTAATTTTCTTCTTGTTTCCTCTATCCTCCTTTGCAATTCCTCACGATTTTTCGACACACTCACTACAGCCGTGTTTCGTGATTTATTCGTAGAGACTTCACCACCGCTGCTCCTGCGTGCATAAACAATTTATTAGTTCAATACACTTCTGATAAGTTCTTCGTTAGTCCTGTATATTTTATACAAACGAGAGTATCACCTTCCGTGAAACTGGGAACTGATGCTAGTAGTCTTAGTTCGATTCGTTGGTTCATCAGCTCCACTGAGAGACTCAAATGCATTCTTAAGATATTTTTCCCGATGACTTTGATTAGCCATCTGATCAAATCCTTCGGAACTTGCTTCGGACAGCATGGACAAGGGATTTCTCTCAGCACTAGGCGTTGATGCACCGCCTTCTGAGTCTGAATCTTCCTGGCTACCAGAAGCAGTCATTTCACTGGTCCGGCCACTTTCACCGCTTCTGGGTTTTTTCGATCGTCTTTGAGATCTGTATATAAAATTAAAAAGGGTATAATACAATTTTCTATCTACGAAGGACAAGGACAAATTCAAAAATTCACATAGATACGCACCTTCTTAGTTCCTCAACATCCATGGCGTTCACCGTAAACTGGTTGGATACGATATCTTCTGGTGGAGGATAGTACATTAAACGATGATGAGATTTCTCAGAGCCGGTCGTTCCATTTTCACCCTCGGAGTAATCCTCTACGTCTCCATCATGCTCGGTACTCTCATGGTCCTGTATGAAACGCGGAAGAAAAAAAAATGATGGAATGGAGTTGCATGGTTTTATACAAATGTATGAATCATATTTTTAACATCCCCGAATAGTAAGGGAAATAATATTTCAATGACGCTATAAAATCATCTAAACACGAGAAGGAGAGACATTAATTGCATAAGGTAACTATGCATCGATAAAAAAAATGTACATGTAGTACCACTTCTACGTACTCAATTCTACGCAGTATCACTAAGAATGACTACATTACAATTTGCGTATTTACGAACAGTAGAATAAAAATAATGAGAAAATGGTGTAAGGCATAAGCTGTGATTTAATGATGAGCGTAATACGATAGCCCCAAATGGTACTTATACTGATAGAATGGCTATTTACAGATTTCAGCTAATCAAAAATAATATACTATAACGCCCAAACGATAGTTTAGTGCCTGGTCTTCTATTTTTGTCTATGTAAATGATACTGATACGGATTGATGATATAATTGTCATTCATTTTTAATTTAAATTATTGCGAGGGAAAGAGAACGACATCTCAATCAATCGTACGGAGGATATTGATCTTGCCATTTATTTTGGACAGCAGCTGAGTGGCAAATACCTCGAATTTGAAGCTGCCAAGACTGCTGTCATCGGTGTGATGGCGACTCCTCGATAGACGTGTCAACTCCGTGATATTGCTACCTCTAGTAATGGTCACGTTACCGCCTGTCACCTACGTGACCGATCGAAATAATGGTGTGATCAAAGAAAATGATAATTTCAAACAAAGAGAAATATAGAAAAATATGCAAACTGGATGAAGCGTTAAAACGCACAAGCTGATAGTGTAAATGAAGAAAAATATACGTAGCGACGGAACACACTACCAAGTTTGTATAATAAATTTTTATGTAAAGTTGCAGGCCCACGTTGTTCTACCATATCTAGCAAAAGGTGCTTACAACGACATGTGACTTGGCAAATACAAAAAGTATTACATAAACGTAAAAGGCATTACATTTTAAGACTTAAGTAAATTCTAAGGCGACGCTGCTATATGTGAAACACGCATAAATTTCATTCTGATTCGTGTAAGCATTTTCCATCGTTAGGCATGCATTTTGTAAATGATTTGATTTATTGTTAATACAATCCAATGCGGTTGCCAGTGATAAGTTAGTACCTGCTTCGAATCGTCAGTCAATTCTCTGTAACTATCTGGACATGGATGAAATTCTTGCTCCTCCTAGAAATTTTTTGTGAAAGTGTTAATGATTTGGGTGCGGAATGATATCATGTGAATGCATTATTGGAAATTGTAATTGCGTGCGATATATGCGCGGCTGGCGTAATGGTTGATGGTACGTGATAAGGATTCGATTGAAATTATGCGGGAGTTTGATACTGTGTAGATACCTATTATCACTTAAAATCTATTGTGCGGAATTGTACAATTACTAATGTTTGCGCGAACATTTTTACTTCTCTTGCGATGAGGTGTTTGTGAAATATTTACAATATAAAAACTTCTCGACATTGACAAGCCGGGAATCCGCAGAAGCCACAGATTTTATTTGATTTAACGACACATACGCTCATTGGCAAAGAAAAACACTGCGTCAAAGAATTAAAGATATCAGAATTAATTTCTATTGATCAAACATAAGCGAAGCATAAACTAAATAAATCATAAATAAATAAGATACAATAAACTTCTATCAGCAGTGTCAATGCCCATATTAACCTGCTTAGAATTTTCGTAATGCAATTTCCACACCTTAACGAAATCTCATGTTTCAAACATTAACGTACAGCGGATCCAAAAACATATGAGAATTCAACGTAAATTCAAAAAAAAAAAAAGTATTTCACATACTTTGACATTCCTCATTAGCCTAATATCCTAAGATCACTAACCCTTTTGATGATCATAGTGTCGCGTCGATAGTCACTGCTACATTTCGTTTCGGTTCCACTGTCGATGGAGCTGTCCTTAGAACCTCCACCACCACCACCACCTCCATCAGAGTCAATGGCACTTCGAGGAGGAGGAAATGGTATAACCTCATCGCTGTCGTAAACTGACTTGACAGTAATAGCGTCCCCCTGTTGTACCCGTTGAGCCCAGCGTCCCTTCGGTAGATCAACGCCAAGAGACCTGACACCAGACCCTAAGGGAGCAGTTTCTTCCTGGGTGGCAGCAGTGTCGATTTGTTTTTTAGCCCAGAGTGGCAACTGCCCGACACTAAACCGATAGTCCGGCCCATTCCCTTGGGGTGTCGGATTGGCATTAGGATCAAGGAATTCCTTAGGAGGCGATCCAAAAGTTTCATTGTCCAGCTGGATGTTGACACCACTGCCGTTGACTTGTGGCACCCGTCTAACAAATTTACATGAGTCTCAATAAAATTGCCTGGGAAGATCCTTAGCATTACATGTACACGACACTGGGAAAAAGGATGTACTCACTTTCCAGCACGCATGGCCTGCTGAGCAAGACGTGCTTGCATGGTCACTACCATGTCATGAGGTACCCGCCACACGAAAACACAGCCATCTCCGCTAGCAGAAACCAAATGACGGCAATCGGGACTAAAGCGAAGTCCTGTTACCAATTCCGAATGACCCAACATCGTAGCCATGCATTCTCCGCTGTAGTAATCATAAACGCATAGTGTCTTATCGGTACAGGAGGTAGCCACATAAATACCGGATGCATCTAAAATAAAATTTTTAAACGGTACCGTACTGGGCTTATTTCTTTTTACGACACGGTGATATCACACTGGTTTGTATTTACTTGTTAAATATAAAATTATCAAGTATTTAATTACCTAGGACAACTTTGATAAGAGAGCCGTCTTCGCCGACGGAACCCTTAAAGGTTTTACTATGTTTGCCAGTCGTTACGTTGTATACTCTAATATTTCTATCCTGACATGCCGTGAGGACGTGTTTTTGACCAGAATCAACTTCCATATCGTAAAGAGTTGTCTTTCCTTGAGCATTGTGACCTCTGGCAAACTGCGGAATGCCACCTGGTATCTAGCGTAAAGCATAAAATCATGTATTAGCATTTATAGTATCTGTTAAGTTATTTGAAGAAGCCGCTAAGTATGTAACGGTTACTTACAGCTTGCAATTGCCTGAATATAATACTCTTATCCGCGCCGCACGACACCATCTGTATTTGATTACTCTGATTCGTTTGATTGAAGAATCGAACAGCAGTAATGGAGGAACTGTGATCGTCAAGTGTTTGTAGAAAATTATAACCCTGATCAACGCTAAACACATGAATGAGCCTGTCCCTGGAAGCACTTGCTAACAACCTGGGCGATTTCAAAGAGTGCCGTGAGAACCTAGAGTATTCCAGACAAAGTACCTCAGCGTCGTGTGCTTCGACTAGACACAATTCCTCAAGTGTGGGTACGTCGTGAATTCGGATATTGCCAGCTCTGTAAAAGCATACTCCGTATAAATTCAATAAATAATATATGCCGTCTCGAATGACTTACCTGTCTCCGGAAGCAAGGTGCTTCCCATCGGGACTGACACGTATCGACCGAACGCCATTACGTCCATCGTAGGACGCGTCGTTTTTTTCCGTGGAACCAGCGGTAGCTAGATCCAAGTCTTTCAAGTAGGTCAATTCTGGGTCTACGTACAAGACCTTCAAGAGTTCCTGCAATTATGAAAAAAAATCACCAAGAAATTAATACTCATGGCCAGGAGAATGAATCTTCAAAGCATTCTGTGCTTGAGACTTTACTCACGTTGCTATATATATTCCTCTTGTACATAGTATCGCTGGGTGAGATATCCTTCTCTAAATTCCAAACGCGTATAGTGTCGTCACTGGAACATGTTATAAAGCTACCTGGCGGCATAGCGTTGATAGATTCAGCTCCCGTAGGATACATTTCAACGCCCCAAATGCAGGCCGAATGAAATAGAAAGGAATGGGACTTGCCCACCCTTCTGATGTCTCTCACGTCCCAGACGTAGATGCTGTGGTCGTTATAGACGCAGGTCAATTTATTATTGCGTTCGTCAAAGGCCAAGGCTATGGCGTCAGGATACCTTGCGTTCGGTGGATGCTGAGACATATGACTGTAACAATAATTCGCATTCTCAAGCAGTCGTAAGAATAATTATGGCTCGTTTTCAACGATCACTTCAGCCTATGACGAGGAAGTAAGTTTTCATATGCCAGGTTAGTCACCTTATAGATAATCCCTGGGCAACGTCCACACCCAAATAATGAGTTCTGGGTAGAGTAGTAATAAATTGCAATGTGACAGGACTGAAGCACCGTACAATTCCTTCGGCACATCCGATAAAAATAAACTTGTCTCCAACGGCCATGCAATTGGCACTGGTTGTCTGTAAAAATGTGAAACAGACGGAAGTCATTAAGTATCCATAGAAACCTAGCACACTTTAGCCTGGTACGAGTATACCGGTACCGACTTGCCATAGTCCCACATAAAGACCCACTAAATCCTGAAGGGTCACAATATAATAACCTCGAACTTACCCTCAGCTCGACCCACTTGTCCAACAGCCTCCTGTTGTTGAATTCGCATAGGAGACCAGTTTTGGTGATTGCGTACGTGGAATCTGCCATTTCACCTCTGCCGCAAGCAACGTCGACGAAATCATTGTTCCGCTGTTCACCAAGTATGGCGGATCTGCCCATTAAAGGTACAGGCTCCTTGTACTGGAATAAAAGAACAAACATATATATATATATATATATATCGCCATTTATCACATAGAGCGATTCTCCATTAGAGGCAGCAGTGCAAGACTTTCATCTCGCTGAGAATTCATTACCTTGGCGTTGCGCGAGTATTCGCCATTTATCACATAGAGCGATTCTCGGATCTGCCCATTAAAGGTACAGGCTCCTTGTACTGGAATAAAAGAACAAACATATATATATATATATATATATCGCCATTTATCACATAGAGCGATTCTCCATTAGAGGCAGCAGTGCAAGACTTTCATCTCGCTGAGAATTCATTACCTTGGCGTTGCGCGAGTATTCCAGATACCAAAACTTCACGTGCCTGTTGCCAACGGTGACGAAATAATTGCCATTCTCGGCGAAAGACACGGCTTTGACTTTACTCGAGACTTTGTTCGAAGCGACTTTCACGTTGTTCCGCCAATCCCAGACGTTGACGATCATGTCGTGTTGCGAGCCGACGGAGACGACGTATTTGTTGCTCGGTGAGAACGCCTGCAAGAAAGAATCTACGTTTACAAAAGCGGCACTGAGTGACAAAAGAAAATTGACGCGATGCAGCGCTCCCTTGCAGTCGCTAGGGAGACAAACGTCAGAGACACCGTACAATACTTCAGCTATGATTTCTTTTTGTCAAGTGTCAACGCACCAGGAGACATTTTTCAGAAAGCAGAATGTCCGCTACCCCGTCAACACTTTACGAGCAATAAATATTTCATTCACTAGCTAATTCAAGTATCCTAGGACCGGTTGTAGGATGTAATGGCATCTCTTTACAGATAACTCATGAATAACAATAACCCTTCAAAGGTATTGTTCTGAGAGATATATTTTCAACTGGCAACAGGTCGACATAGACCTTTTTTTTTAGTGTAATTCTGCCAAGTCCTACTCTGACCATAGTTCCAAACCATGAAGAACCTAATACTCGATTGGTTCCGCACGTGAGACTACTTCTAAGCACAGACTCTGGGATGGCACCAGAGACGATGAGATTGGTACACAAAATACCGTTAAGGCGCATTGAGTAATTTGGTATGCCTGTACCAGTCGACGGTTCGCCGTAACCATTCGAACATCGGAAAGACACTGTATGAATATTAAATGGTATACCGATGAGAGAATAAGACACGGTTCATTGTGCGATCGTGTCTCAATAGAGAAGAGTACGAAAATGCTTAGCACAAATATTGATTCAATTGATTTGTTCGTCAATGCTTCAAGTAGCAATAACAGAGTCATGCTTACGCACGGTGCACAGACACGCGTCCGCTGGTAATCTGGATAGGGCAGACAAGTCTAATTCGAATTTTTTTTTTCAATTATAAGTAAAAAAAAAGGAATTAAAAAATGTCAAATTTCTCGAATCAATTTAAACGAATTAGATCCACGTACGTAATCGGTTAACTTTCTCAGACTGTGTCAAAGATATTAAAATTGTTTAGTCCAGATAAAAACGAATGTTCTTCAAGCGTCTGAACACTAATTAATTTCACTTTACTAGCTGTTTGCTCAGTCCTTTATATCGAGTAGCTCCAATTAGCATGTGAGTGACGGCACGACTGACGAGTATACTCGTGCATACCTAAATGCCATGCATTATGGGTGCGGCCTTTCCCTTGCCCATGCATGGGAATTCTATGGGTTCCGCATCATAAGGATCGTGGATAGATGTTTTTTTTTTCGGCATTTCTCGTCGATAGACAGTCACGTCGACATACGAGTAGATCGATATCGGTCAGTTTTATAATACGTAGGTCAAATCTCGTGCAAGAGAATGCAATATGTAGAGCGCATAAATCCGATAGAGTTATTCAATTTCGCCAGAAAATATTGCTGTGTCGTTTCCTGCCTGTACTACTATTCGATTTACGATATGCATCGTGGAATGAAATTCCTATTGCAGTATACTATAATTTGATAAATGACTCAATTCATGTTCAATGGAACAACCCCCCTCTGCCCCTCCTCGTACGGCCGTCTAATGACGTTTAAATCGCTGCATGGAATCCGCATATACGTATCAAAATGTAAAATATCCTTCGAATATCAGATCGTAATTCGATAATAAATCTTCGATATTAGATGAAAATCGTATAAACGATTTGCCGCAAAACTGTCGTAAGGAATTCAAACAAGAATTCAATAGCTCGAGGTCAAAAGCGTTTCTTAAAATCTTGACCTTGAATGTAATCGCGTGAATATCTCGTACGGACTGTACTGCCAGTCATAGAACAGAAGCTATAGGAAAAAACCGATATTTATACGTAGAACGAATTTTAAGAAAAAAAAAAAAAACTCGCGATTCAATAAACGTTCGAGCTGTACGAAAAACTTACCACGCAATTGATGCCATACTTGTGTCCAGGAAATTCGGCAATCTGAACGGCATTGTGGGGATCGGAAATATCCCAGACGCGAACATTCGGCATATGTCCGCATTCTCCAGTAGCCAGAAGTCTGCCGTCCCCTGCCAGCGCAAGGGAAGTCACAGTCTTGCGACATCCGTTCAGCACGTGAGTTTGACTGTTTTTGCGTGGATTGAACAGTACCACGGTGCAGCTGAAACAAAAATATAAAAAAAAGGTTTCAAGTATTCTTGTGAACGTGACAGCTCGTCCCTGGATATTCGAAAGATGAAAAGATGGAATTAAAAGAAAAAAGTTGAAGTCCTACGAAGTGGGAGTCAAGTTCAGCTTCACTGACCCATACAAGCTCCGACCTCTATAATAAAATGCTTTTGCATGCTCTCCTCGCTTTCTCTTCGAATCCCATCATAGTGACCGCGACCATGACACCGGATATGAGGATACGAAACTACAGGATCGCTACAGCTATCTCTAGTCGGATAACAAAGTCGAATTTATTGATCCGTACGTGTTCACCCCCTCGTTGCTACAAATCTTGCACTCGTGCGAATCGCTGACCATATATTTAACCCGAGCGAAATATTTCTCGCGGATGAACAAATTGCGGGAATATTCGTCGACGAGTAGAAATTACCATGGATTATGTATTATTCGCCGGGCGAAGCAGTAATGACGAGCACCAACGATATTTACCGTGCGAAAATCCAAGTAAATGGCTCCGTAATGCCTATACCCGATGAAAATCAAATGACGAAGACTCTGCGGTAACTCAGACCGACACGTGTCTTGATGCTCATTCTCTTACTATGCACAGATATACATTACTCGATTGACCGCTCTGCCACAGCCAATCTCTCGCCTGCCCTCTCCTACATATCTACATATCTACTTGTAATGCTTCTATTGCGGTCGATCAATATTTTACAGTGCATTTCCTGTCACGCCTGCGACCAGGAAGACAACACTGATCAATCGAGGAACCCCAAGAAAATTCTTCTCCGCTTCAAACGTCTGTTAAAGAATATTTAGCATTTATCTTATCATACGCGCGACGTTTCACCACCGCGTGTTCGTGCACTCGTCAAGTAGTCCAACATAATGAGAATATTACTCATTAACGGTGAGGTTAATGTCATGACTCCCGCCAAGAGTTATTCTCGTACCGTGCGAGCAACCATTTACGTACAGGGACTTCCGGTTACTTCACTTTCAGTGGTAAAGACAGTGACATTGAGAGTGACCGATAGGTTTAACAGGTTCAAAGACCTCGTCGGAGCTGCTGTATATGTATAATACAGCGATACGTAATTTTGCACGAGTCTGACGAATTACGTGAAAATGAGCGGAATCGTCAGTCCACGAAAAAGATTCGCACGGATGCATCACGAGTGTCTGGGGTCATAAAGGCATAACGACGACAAACTTCGAGAATGGCAATCGAACAATTTATCGCAGCGTCCGCAATGTATCCGGGATAAAGATCCATCCGACGAAACGATAAAAATGTCCTCTCGCCTACTCGCAAGGTTAAGTCCCCAGTACACTGGGAGGTTCCATGGAAAATTCAAAGCGTACATTGGCTACGTGTGCAATAGCTAACTAGTGACGTACAAATTCAATACGATTAAGAGTAAAAATGCCCTCGTGATGTAAATCTGGAGAAAGGCAAAGTTTTCTAAGGTAATACAGAGCAGATACTGCAGTAACGTAATACCGTACGTATATACATAAATGCATGTACGTTCTTGACCGTGGCTCGCACGAAGTCGTGCCGCGTCGCATTCGCTGCACGAATCCTAATGCGATTTGCGGTATTTCACGTGGGAATTCGAACATAACACGCAATCGCAAAGGAAAATCTACAAAGCTGGCGTCGCATTGGTTTTCAGCAAAATTCATACAAAAAAAAAAAAAAAACAAAGAAAATTCTTTTACGTACAGATTAATTTTATAACTTTGAAAAGTACACATACGACGAGACCAAAGGACCGTGTCGCTTTGGTGCAATGAAGTGGGGAGGCGCCCGAAGGCTAGTTCCTCGTGTGAATGCAGTTTAAAGCTTTTTCTTCGAGTGACTCTTCCGACGTAGAAGAGGCCGACGGGGCCGTGTGAAGGAGTGAAGGAGTGAAGGAGCGAAGGAGTGAAAGAGTGAAAGAGTGAAGGAGGTAGAGACTCTCTGCTCGGCGACCTAGTAAAACTAGTGCACGGTTCACGTATATACCAGTTTTGTACACGTTCGGGCATAGGTATACTAGTCTCTAGGTAGCAGGTATCGCTGGTATGCCGTCAAGCATTAGGTACAAGCACGGATAGAAGAACTGTACTACAGATTATATACACGTATCCGAGCCTATAAACCTCAGGTCAGGGTGGTAAAGTCTGCGCGTGGAAAAGCATAAGATGGTTGGCAGCGAAAGGTCAGTAGGTCGAACCGATCATAATAGTCGGCAATAACCATCCGATAAGTTCGGCGTTACGATACAGTCGATATATACTCGTAGCAAGTCAAATTGACCATCTTGCATGCTACGAAAATAATACTTTTTAGATACTTTAATAGATATTTGTGCAATCCAGACCTCGCAGCTATCAAGGATTTCTATTTGGAAGTTCAACTAGATGTCGCGTGCAGATCTTCAGTTTTACAGCTCAACGAGTTACACTGTCATGAAGTTAATCCCGGGGATCACGGTAGAGGTTAAAAAATCGCGCACCGTAAAACTGTGTCTAGCTACGTGGTCGTGCTTCGAGCCACATACGGCCAGAGTGTGCATTAGCAGAAAACGTTCGCCGTATGCGCGAGAGTGGAACCAACCACGATTGCGTTGCGCTCGCTCTCAGAGTCTCCGTCCGTTTGTAGAAAACTTTCGCTTTTCTCGATATAAATTTAATCCGTCGTTATCGAAGCGACTTGGGCGTTTGTCGGTGACGCTAATGTGACAATACGTGGATGACGTTACGATGTTCGAAAGATGTAAAGGCGCCGAGAAAGAAAAAAATTAAATAAACAAACTGCAGATTCGAAAGCTACTGCACACGTAGAATGCAAGGGGGACGAATTGAGTAATCTCGCGCGCCACGGCGCATCCCACACATGGCATTGGAAACTATCCGTTGGCAAGGTCTCGGTTTCCCATCTCCTTTGTATTACAGTCGACTTTCATCGGGCATAATGGACGAGTCGTTCGTTTTCTAGAAACGACCTTCGCGGGAGACTTGCTTCAACAAATGCTAATATCGGCAAACCGTAGTCCGACTTGACTAGACCGAAGTCGGGCGAACGAGAGCACGCGTGCGAGTGAACGTAACGCCTTCGCAAGGAAACGGCTCGACTAATGGCTCGAAAGTGCAGCAATACGGCTATTTCGAGTAATGGGAATGCCGCTCCATGAAATTGAGCACGGGGAAGGTTTTCTTCGACCTTCTGTAAGACCGGGTTACTACGAGGAAGCTCAAAGGAACGAAGATAGCGGCGATTATCTTCGTCGAAGTTCGAAACGACTTTGGGTTAGGAATAACAATATTTCAGCTTCTTCGTCCAGTGACTTCCTGTAAAGCCGAGTTAGAATCTAAAAGCGCTATTGTCACTGAGCAATCAAGCGAATCGGCTTATTCACAAAAGTTCTCAGCATTCGATATGACGTTATAAAAGTACAGTTGGATCCTTGTTTACAGTCTCGAACGATCACGTGTATTAGATTTAATCCCTGACTACGCGCGCAATTACCGTTGCGTATCCATGAATTGTCTGAACAGCGCATGTACGGATCCGTAGCGCGTATCCCGTTGTTTCGTGAAAATTCAATGAATATAACAATCATAAAGGTAATTCTTGGGTACGCGACATTGTCAAACTACCGTGAGATCGTTGGCTTGCCATTCACCAGTGTGACAATATTCACTTTACGATTTCACCATATACGCGAGCATGCGTATGGTGGAAAGCTCCAAACGAATATTTTTGTCATCCAATATTTAGATACGCAAACAAAACGAGTGTTACAAAGATAACTCTTATTTTTTTATTCATTTATTTTTTTTCAAAAAATTAAATGCCATTACCCTACAACTGCAATTGAAGCAAAAATCGAGTTCTCGTAGTTAGCGGCTTCAATCGGTAATCAATTAGAATTTTAAAGAGTCACGACAATCGAAATAAAGTCGCGATATCGACTTAAATCCAGATCGACAAACGCGCAAGTACCATTCGAAAGTTGCGGTCATACATGAAAATGAGACAAATGATTTTTCCTATTAAAAGAGAAAAAGTACACCATACACCAGTGTAAACTGAGCAATGACCACTTTCCGTATCCTGACGCGCTTCCCTGCCTGCTTATTAAAACGCGCAGCCGGCAGCAGCTCGACCGAGTTAAGTGTATATTTTTTCCTTTTCCTCTACTATTCACGGCAGCCGTTCAATGAACCGCAGGTGCGAGGTCGCAAGATGACGATAATTACAAAACTCGTAATTAGTCCCCACGGTGTTCAAAACCAAACGAAGACAAATAAGTTAGCTCCGGGTCCAAGGGAGCTGCAGACTGAAGTCTAAGCTGCATCTGGCACTATGTTCCCCCCCCCCCCC